TAAATAAAGAAGAAGAATATATAGAAATGAATAAAAGAGCAAGATGAATAGATGAAAGAAATAAGAAAAGATAATATAAATAAAAATAAATATAATGAATAATTATACAACAAATCCATCTTTAAACTAAAATAAATAATGATAAACAACATGAAAGATCAAATAGATAATAATAAAAAGAAATAATACAAATAAATAAATATATTATTATTATTATTTCAAAAAAACATGTAATGAAATAATTAAATATATAAATGAAGAATGGAAGTGTGAAAGTAAAAATATAGAAGATATCAAAAAAAGAAATATATAAAATACATATTATATTTCTAAATATCAAGAAAATAGATTTATATGATATTGAAATGATGAAATTAAGAATATAATAAAAAGATCCAATAAATTAAAAGAAATGTTAATAACAAGAATTACACTATAATTAAAATAATAAAGAGAAATAATAATACAATGATGAATATATTATTAATAAAACATGAAAATAAACAATAGAATATTTAATCAATAAAGAAGAATAGAATAGACTTTAATAAAGAATATAGGAGAAGAATAAGTAAAAATAAAATAATAATAAGAAATTAGAAGAAGATTAAATAAAATATATAATATCATAGTGATGAATAATAAAATAAGAAGAGGTAAATATAAATTAGAATTAATAAGAATAATAATATATTATGAATTGAAATAATAAAATAGGAGAACTAATGAAATGAATAAGAATGGAAAATAGAAAAGATAGTATAAAATAGATGGTAAGAGAATTAATAAAAATGAAAATAATGAAATATATTTATTGTCACAAAATAAGAATGAACTATCTATAGTAATAAAATATTTAAATAATAAATTTAATGAAATATATATATATATTAATAAATTGAAATTACATAATGTAATTATTCATTTAATAAATTACTTTGAAAATGAAATGAATGATAAAAAAAAATTAACAATTAAAATAATGATTAATAGTAAAATAAAATAATTAATTAAAATTAATGCAAGAAAATGGTACATTTGTATTAATTAACAAATCATCAATTACATAAAATAATATTCAGAAATGATTTATTATTTATAATGATAAAATAACAACATTAAAACATATATTATTAAATTAAATTATATTATAAATAAGAATATACAAATGAATAAACATGATTTAATAAATGAATGTAATTAGAAAAGAGTTAAATTAAAATATAAAATAAATATAAAGAGTGATGAAGAAATGGAGAAGAAAACAAGAGAAAATAAAATAAATTTATTCTTTAATATAAATGAAATGAATAAATTCTAAAGAAGAATAGAAAATAGTGAAATGTTCATTTTATAGAATAAGAAATAGTTAATAAAACTGAAAAAAAGATTTTTTAAAAGACCAGAATTATATAGAAGATAAAACAAATAAAAATAATAAATGATATGATAATTGTATTTGATAAATTGATAAATCTGTGATTCATTAATAAATTTGAAATGTCTAAAAGAAGTAAAAGTAATTCCATTAATAATGTTAATAAATATATTATTTAATAAAGAATTTGTATGAATGTTAAAAACAATGTATTATAATTTTATGGGAGATAGTGATAAAAGAATAATGGTTAAGAACATAAAAACACATAATGAAATGGTATAGTGACCATAGAGGTGAATATCAAGAAGTATTTCATGAGCAAGACTCTGAAGAGAGTAAATGATGTAATCTCATCTGAGTAAAGTAAAGTAGAAAAAAAACAAGATCTAGTGATTATTATTTTATTTTTAATTTTTATTCTTTGAGATATTTATTTTAATTTATTTATTTATTGATTTTATTTATTATTATAAAACTTATTATAATTTTTTATTTATTTTCTATTATTTATTTTTAATTTTTATTTATTTTATTTTATTATAATTCTTTTTTTTTAATTTAAATTTATTAAAATAAGAAATATTTATTTATTATTTATTTCTTTTTCATAATTATTTTTTATGGTACAATTTAATAATAGTGTGATAAATTATTTATGGTATATTATTATTTTTTAATTATTTATATTTTATATAATATTTTATTTTATATTATTTATTATTTTATTTATTATTTATTATATTGTTTAATATCAAAAACAATTATTTTCTTTTCTCATATTTATAATTTTATAATCTATTTCATTTAAAAAATAAACTCTGATTTATTATGGTTTATTATATTATCAAATAGACATTCATTTTTATTTCATATCCTTTTAATTAATACAAAAGAATAATTTATATATTCATTTATTAATAATTTATTAGAAAATAATTTTTGAATAATAAAAACATAAAAATACTTATATTTTTCATTGGAAATGAAATAAAAATATAAAAATAATAATAATATAAAAGAAAAAGAAGAAATAAAAATAAAACATAGAATAATAAAGTTAATAAGAAATAGATAAAATAGAAAAAATTTAAATATATAAAGAAGAAGATATTTAAATAAAACACACTGTCATAGTTTACAAATTTCTTAATAATTTGATTATTCTATGTTTTATTTTTATTTCTTCTTCTTCTTCTTTAT